ACTCAGCACGTAAGTCTCCATTTCATATACTTTTATTATATGTTAACAATAAACTTATAAATTTATTTTTTATTCAGTGCGGAGCGACAAAGTGTAGCTAGTGCTGATAGAAGAGGAGACGGAAAATAGGGTAAAAGACCCAATGTTATGTTTATGGAAGGGAGTGAAAAAAAATTATATGAACTTAGATTCGTGGAATCTTCTCGTATAACCTGCACCAAAATCAAAGAAGAGAATAACAATGTAAAGCTATGGAGGGAAATAAATGATGGAATGGCTTGGGTCCATAAAGGTTGTAAACCAGATAAAAATAAGTTTTGGGTTCTAGGACTCCAAATCGCTGGAAAAATAATGCATCTGAACATTCTAATTAAGGATGTTGATGATATTCACCGACTTTTTCATTTGCATTCAGTTGAAATTCCAATTCAACCAGCTGATGGGAGTGATGTGTTGCAATTTGTGGAGGCATTACTACTTTTACGAAATATTTTAATTGTCAACATTTCTTTATTGTTAAATGCACCAGAAGCTAGATCAGAACGACTTAAGCGAAAAAGCTCTACAGTATCTTCTGATCAAGAATAATTAGATTTATTTTTTTTTTCGAATATATCCCGAGCATTATGTATTTTTATTATGTATCAATAAAGTGATCTTGATGGTCGATTTCGCAAATATATTCATGTATGGTATATATCAAATAATAAAATTTTCTTGGCAAAACCGTTCCCTCGGGGAACGATCAGCCGAAGTCACATGATTTTTTTGCTGACCAATGGTCAGGATGTCACGTGAAATTCTTGATCAGAGCTAATATTCAAAAAAAATAATTACCGTAAATTTCTCAGATTTGGATGATAATTGTGAGCTTGTTCGCCGAATTTTCCAGATTAGTCCTTGATCAAGATCCCGAATATTATCTTAATAAAAAATATATTTGCCTTTCCCACAATGCATGTAGGCGTGTGCGACGCTTTTTTCTCACTAGATTCGAAAAAAGATAGTTTACTTTTGAGTCGGCCCTTCGTGCTTGTGCGACGAAATAATTTTATACAAATTATTAGTCACGTGCATAACTGATTTGTGCGACAATCGGTTTCAATATATACCCCATATTTCTGCCCAAAAAACGTGTATTAGTTATGTCCTGGAATCACGAATATTTTGAACGAAATCCTGAGACTTGGGGTATTATTGATTTCTTAAACGAGTGTGAGGTCGAGCCGTATGACGCAAAGATAGATAAGTACACAAAAAGCCTCAAAGCCATCGCTAATGACAAGCAAGGAGAGAGGACTAAAAAAGCGCAATCACTTCTCGATAGTTTTATGCTGGTAAGTATTGATTCTTTTAAATCGTGGCGTGAACGGGGGCCTGCTAGGTTGTCGGTCATTCAAGGCTGTTAGCTGAGCCACAAAACTGGTGCTGGCGCACAGGTGACTTGTTAGGTTATCTGATGCCAAAGGCTGTTAGCTGATCCAGCACTGGACCCACTGAGGTACAGTTGGCCTGCTAGGTTGGCTGATGTTTCAGTGGGATAGTAAATATTAGTTGAAAATTATTAATTTCCAAAATTTCAACGCTAGGGTCTTCAACCTGATCGTACAAAAGCAAAAGAATGGGAAAGGAAGCGCACGCAAAAGCAAGTTCACATCCACCAACCGAATCTAAATGCGGGGACTGTAATAAATGGAGGAACAGTTAAAAATATAAACGGTGAAGTAAAACTTATGTCAAAGAGAGATCAGAATGAGGTACGGGTGTGTAATTTATTAATGAGAATTGACAGAATTTTGTATGTCTAATAAATTTTAACTCTTTCTTTATGTATTTAGTCCGATGATGATTTCCAACATTTCCAACTTCCAAAAAAGCGGAAGAAGCAGTTATCTCTATCGAAAAAGGTTAGGGTATTTACATATAAGGACTTATATTGCATTGAATTTATGCAATCATTTTTTAATGATTATTATACTGTATCTACAGAATAAAGAGTCGGTTGGCTCAGCTATATCTAAGAAGGTTAGTATAAAATGCATCCCTATGATGACAAGTATTCGTTACCGTGAATTCTTCTCGAAATTTTCTATTATTTTACGCGAACAGGCCAAAACCACGAAGGACATGCCATTATCATCTCCAGATATAGTACAAGGAGGAGAAGCAACAACACCACCAGAAACATCACCATCAAGTTCAGAAAGTGCTGGGTCTAGCGGGTCGATCAGAGGAGCTACAGAAATGACTAGCGAGTATGATAGGCCACATACTCCACCTCATCAAATTCGCTCTACATCTGAAAATCAAGACTTACTTAAACGATTAAGACAAGAAAAACAGCGAACGAAATCCACGTAGTAAGTAAAAACATGTCTATTAAAGCTAATTTATATTCCTATATTATATTATTAACTGACTAATTTCACTTTTTTTTATTATAGTGAACCAATCTGCTCAAACATAATCGACACAACAAACAAGATTTTAATGGATAGATTGAAAATCAAACGCAATTATACATGGGATCCTGTCACTAATGACGCTATAAAATATATTGATGAATTAATTGATAGTGTATGTTTTAAGGAATGTCTTTATAATCATTATTAATTTTGCTAACACCTTTTCCCTATCTCTGATTTCAGTCTGATTCTCGCAATGAATTCCGTAGCAAACTTCAACTTCCATTTGTTCCGTCAGATGAAACATATTCATTTAGCAAACACTATGAAATACATTGGGTCCATCGTTTTGCTGACAAACTGTGAGTTCTAACGATTTCCTCGTTTCTATAAACGGAATTTTTGCATTGTTTATGTTAACCCATCTTACAACAATCTGTCTTATATCTAGATCATTGTTTTTTGAAGCTCCAAGAAATCCGCTCTTGGACAAAAACTCCGAGGGTTGGATCAATTGTCACTTATTGACTCCGTTGATTGATGATTGCTTTTTGACTTGCGAGGAGATTCAAGTGCATCGGTTAGTATGAAATTTCCTAATAAAATTTAATGTGATAGTTTGTTTCTTAGCTTTAAGTCTCAAATTATTTTCTCCATCACCTCAGAGGCGAAGAGATGTCTTTGGCATCAATCGAGCGTAAGAACGTGACAAGAGAAGATTCGGAAAAAAAAAGATCTGGACATAAGATCGATATTTTATTCCGTATCGATAATATGGAATATTTTGGCTCGGAAACATACACCGATGAAGATCCTCAAAACTCAAAACCAATTAACTACAAACATAAGGTTTTTCGTGAAATGAAGGATCAACTAGATCGCATCCTGAATAATTTGAAATTTACAAAAGAATCTATTAAAGGAGTAAAGAACATTGTTTTACACGGAATAACTCATGGAGGTACTATGAGGCAACGGAGAATATTTTCAAATGTCTTACACTCTAATATAAAATTGGCTGATACCCATTTTTTATATTTAACAAAGGTCTTAACGGGAAGATGTATGCCATGTACTATGATGTCGATATTGGATATTATTTCGTGTTCAAGACGTGTCAATATCGAATTGGAACGACATGGGGAAGCATTCCAGAAAGCCTTGTGGCTTTAAAAGATGTATTAAGCTTAAAGGTACGTATTTGTATCATCAATTCGCTAGTTGAAAATTTTTCTTGCGAATTTTAATTATTTCTAATGATTGCAGAATGATATAACAAATGTTCTTGGTGTTGTTAAGAAAGTAAAAAGAGTTGCGTTACAAACAAGACCAGAAGATTTGTTTACTATCGACAATCTTCCGGAGACAACACCAACCCCGAAAAAATCTCAAAAAGAGTAGTATAGTTTAATGCTAGAATAATGTTTTCATTTTGCAATAGGGAAGAAAATCATTATAATATGTAATACTACTGCGTCTGTAAATCTTAACTTCAGATGCATCGGAAAAATAAAATATTAATTTCATTCACCGATATTTGCATCGAAAAACATGTTTACTGTTAAGTAGCATTAACCTATATTTTTTTTTGCAATATTCCGGCACTATCAGCCAGTGCATAATTTTATTTTGATCAAACACTTAAACATTACATAACTAAAATAAATTCATTACTAAATGGCAGATATCGAAGAGGTTATTGATTTATATGCGCAA